TTTTTTTTTTTTTGCACTGTGTTCGTGGTTGAGCGTTTATGTGTAGCTATCCTTTTTTGTGTAGGTGTTGTGTTGTATTGCTCTTACTACGTTCTGTGTTGGCTGTGTGTTTTTAATGGGGTGTACTTTTCTAATTAGTAAATCCTTTTTGTTTGACGTAATTCTCTACTGTGTTGTTAGTTTTGGAAGTTGTGGTGCCTTGCGGGTGTTTGCTTCGGTTGACATAGGAGGGTGAAAGGTAAACTGGTTTTTCCTTGCCATGATTCCTTTTCTGGTGGGGCTGTTGTTGATCGGTTGTTGGGCTGTCGGGTGCTTTTGCCTGTGAGTGCGGCATGTTCTTTCAGGTATTTTTGAGAGAACTTGGTGGATTTTATGACTTTGTGCTTCCCAACAACGCTACAGTCTGGGTTGATGACTCTTAGTGTTGTGTGGATGCTAGAATGGCTGCGTGGGGGATTTGGCGGGCGGAAAACTCTTACCAAACAGCATCAGTATGGAAATGGGATAACCGGGCATCATATACATGCAGAGACTGAGTTAGTCCTTATTTTCATGCTACCCCCCCCCCCCNCCCCCCCCCCCCCCTCAAATGTCTACTGACAATAAAATTCCGTGTTGTGTATTCTCTTTGAACTCTTTTAAAGGCGCTTTTCCCTAGTCTCTCGCGCTGATTGGACCTTTGGGCTTGCTTACGCCAATGATGACTCACCGATAGCATTATGTGTTGCATCCCACACGAAACGCCGTGGTCCTATTGATTTCCTTGTTTGCACGCAAACTCGTATATATACTTCCCTCTGTTGCTGTTGTTGTTTGTTGTTCTGGGTTTTATTTACGGTGAAAAGTGGTGGTATGTGTTCCTGTCACACAAACTGTGTGTGTGTGTGTGTGTATGGGCGTGGCCTGTTCCTATTCGTGAGCGTGGGCCTCTCTTCCCTCTGTTNCACACAAACTGTGTGTGTGTGTGTGTGTATGGGCGTGGCCTGTTCCTATTCGTGAGCGTGGGCCTCTCTTCCCTCTGTTCTATCCTTGTCGTGCTGCTGGGGGAGAAAGCCCCAACAAGTAGACTAGATTTCCAGAAAAAGGAAACCACAAAAGGCGAGCGGTGTTGTACTGTTTGTCTCATACGTTCATTGTTTTCGTTTTTCGTGTGTTATATTCGTCTCCTTGGTTGAGAAGACATGGATGTTTGCCAAGATGACGAGAATGGCATTGTTGAGGATATAGACGAATTCCTTCCAGGGAGTCCGCTGGCCAATCGAGAGCCGGTGCTGCGCAAGGGGCGGCTGCCGCCGAAGAAAGTGGTCAAACAGTCAGCAGTACCACCCGAATTGCACATCGAAACTCAACAACGTTGCGGCGACGACGCGGGGAAGGATTTTTTACTCAGTGACGATAACGNGCAGTACCACCCGAATTGCACATCGAAACTCAACAACGTTGCGGCGACGACGCGGGGAAGGATTTTTTACTCAGTGACGATAACGAAGATGGTTTTATAATGTCACCTCGACTGCGCAATAGAATAGAAGAAGCGAGGAAGAAGCGACTCCTGGAAGCCATGGGTGGGGACCACTCACCACCGCCATTAACGTTGCCGCCGCCACAGGCGCGGTCTAACGCACCGAGGGCTGATGGCCCAACAGGCCTCAAACTCTCCTCTGGACCGAAGGAAGAGCCTAAATGCGTTCCACCGCTGCCTATGGTAATTCCGCTCCAGAGGGCATTTTCTCGTGACCGCTCAATACCTGTCGTTTCCCGCAAAAAGATGGGTTCGTGCGCTCCTCGGTGGAACGGATCCTACAACACTCCGGTTGATCTATTGGGGAAACGTGGCGGCGTCACTGCTGACGAGAAACGCTCTGTCCCAGCGTCGCTAAGCGTCCAAAATGGCCCGGGGTCTCTTCCGCATCATGAAGCCAGTAGGATTCCTGAGAATTCAGGAGACGTTGCGCCAGGAATCTCATTTGATGACGACGCCTCCTCGCCTGTGTCACGTCGTCTCCGCATTCCGCCAAAGTTCAATAAGAATCAAGATAAAAGCTGCAATGTAACCACCGATCTCATCCCTAGCTTCACGCTTCCTGGAAGCCAGCTTGAAGACACTGTTGAAGCTCCCACAACGCAGTCTCAACCTGTTGTGACAAAGGGGAAAACTGAGAGTGTCATTCCGTCGAAGGATATGCAGCGCGCCGAGCCCAGGAAATCGTACAACATCTCACGCGACGAGGCGTTGGAGCGAAAACAGGAGGGACGTTTCGTGCATCATATATCAACGATACCATCAAACAAGCAAGGCGCATCAGACAACGTGGGAGTGCCTAGCGGAAAGGCCGGTGGCGTCCCAAGGGCGGAAGCGGGAAGAAATCGCTTTGAATCGTTTAGACCGACCGCTCTTTCTTTAAGGCCTGATGATCGCGACCCTCTTGGTGCACTTTCTCCACGGCTGAAGAACAGGGTTCATGAAAGACGTGTAAGCAGAAAGCTGAACTAACAACAAAGTACGGTACAAATGTGAGAACACTACTGAGAAAGTGGTATCAAATTGTAACCTGCACGCCTGGTAGAGTATCAAGGCAAAATTCCGATGGCACTAATATTCAGAAGGTGAAGACACTGCAGAATTCCCTTTCTCGTTGCTTGTACAACTTTGTTTTTTTAGGAAAACATTAATGGCCATAAAGAAAGCTATGTTCCACGTCTCTTAGTGGTGTCGTTCTTTCTGTGTGTGGGACTTTCAAATGTGTGAGAGGTCCATCTATGAATGGTGGCCCTAGTACAGTCTGAATATAGTGAGTGAATGAATGAACAATCGTTGTCCGCCTTTACCTCATATACGATTTTTTATATGCTTCTCGTTTCCCCTTTGTTTTCCCTTTCCCTTTTCTTTTTTTGTTGTTTTTTGGCAATATGTTGGCGGCGAACCGATTCGAAGTGCAACTAGCACATTCGTAATTTCATTTTTCTCCCTTTGTGGCCTTGTGAACGGCGTTAAACGGGCGTCTTTGCTTTTTTTTTTTTCGTTATTCTGTTGTTGTTGTTGTTGTTGTTGTTTGGAGGGTTATGTGTATGTCACACGCACTTTTCATCTCTTCCTATCTCATTGCACAAGAATTGCCCATATACACTAGGATTGTGGTCTCAAGCTGGCGTGGGGTGTGGCATGTTTGCGACTGATCTCTCTGGCAGGATCGCTACCAGTGGAACACGTGTTTACTTTGTGCCTACGGACAAGCGGCTACCGCGTCTAAAGTGGGAGCCCAAGCTGCAGCGTTTCGTTGTATGGCAGCACAACAATCATGACCTGGCACCACGCTCATCTTCGCAGCAAACTACTTCGACCGACGCGGTAGAGGAGGATTGCGTTGTAATGGCCTTAACCAATGCGATTTCGTGCTGTGCCCTCTACGGTGTTCTCCCCCTCGGCACAACATCGATCCTGTTGTACGTCACGGAGCAAAAACAAGCGGCGACTCTGCCTTTTTCCGGGCAGCACGACATATTTGCCGTCAAGCACCTTGCATGGATGCGGCTGCCACCACAGCCAGCTGGGTCCACTCACTCAGATGACGCGGAAGATTATGGTGGCGATAAGGATAACAGCACTGACAGTCGCATCCAAAACGAGGAGGAAGAAGAAGTAACTGGACACAGCAAGGGTCCGGTGCTTGGCTCTAAGGTGCCCCATCAACTAACCGAAGACACAATTGCAGAGTACTGCGCGGTGGTCGACCGGTTTTGCTCTCAGTCGCAGCGGCACTCTGGGGGTTCGTACCTCTTTTACTCCCCGACCATCAACTTGGCGCTGGGGCCCAGCGAAATGGACGGGAAGGGCGTCCAATCTATCCCCGGATCCGTCACCGGTGCGGGCTACTCACACTCCAGCAGAGGTTTTAACGCTGGGTCTGATGCACCGGAGGAGCTTTCCTCAGAACTGGTTTTTCAGTGGAATGCCCCCTTACTTGGTGCGTTTGATATACCAGAAGCAGTGGTGGGCCGCAGCAAAACTTTTTGTGTGCCGGCGTTTATTAGAGGTTTTGTCACAGCATCAGATGTCCCTTCTGACGGAGTGAAGTTGCTGCTCATCAACCGACTTAGCTATCGGTGGTCTGGCACACGATACAATCGACGGGGCCTCGACTCAGCCGGTACCGGCATACCTGCCAATTTCTCTGCATCGACCCTGTGGGTTTTCCCCACGGAAGCGGTGCACGACGGCGGGGGCACCTCAGCACCTGCGCTCACACCGGAAAGGCGAGTCGCAGCGTTTGTGACTGTGCGAGGCTCTATTCCGCGAAGCTGGAGCCAACCAGCGAATCTGACATTGAAGCCAAAGGTTACTATCTCATCTTCTAGCATTGCTGCAGATGAATTGTCATTGCATTTAAATGCGCTACAGGCAGTTCTCCACGGTATGTTGACCCTGCATTGCCTTGACACGACATCTTGTAGTGTGCTCGAGTCGCCACTCTCCAAGGCCTTTGAGACAGTAGTCACAAAGCGTCGCGAGAGCGATGCAAAACTCCGAAGAGCCCCAGATGTTCACTACTCCAAGTACAATGTGAAGGAGCGCATGAACAAGAAGCTCTCCTACAGACAGATACAGGAAGAAGTGAATGTATTGGTCGGGTTGAAACAGGAGGATGGTGATAAAGGGATGGTGGACTTCTCGCAGTGGCGCAGCGCCGTGGCGACGGACGATGATGAGCAGTGGCGTGAGGATGGGAGTGGGCCGTCTCTCGTTTGGAAACGGGTACGTCAACAGGCATGCTACTTGCGTGTTAACTGTCTGGACTGTTTGGACCGGACAAACCTTGTGCAGTCTATGATCGCTGTTGGTATACTTCCAAGCATGATTAACTACGTGCGTGGAGATGAAAAGGCGAAGGAGGATGATGCGAGCCTCACTGGTGGTGGGACAGGTAGAGAGGACAATGAGGAAACATTTAAGGAAGCAAAACGGGCGTGCAAAGGTCTCTGGGTCCAACAGGGTATAGCGCTCTCACAACTGTATGCCGGAAGCGATCCCCATTTTGTGCAGTTCCTTTTGAACGGCAAGTCGGACCTGAGTGAAAAATTCAAGGAGGGTGTGCGTGCTTTGCAGCGGTGGTGGCAGCAGAACTTTTACGATGGTGAAAAACAGGATGCTGTCTCTCTTCTCACACGTCAGCATGATCCTGCTCTTTTCTACTCTAAATTTGAAGGCCCCTTTTCTCGACGTTTGTCTGGGCTAAATAGGATGGTATTGTTGGGCCTGCTCGTCGCGATTGGGGCAGCTGGAGCAAATCTTGTCATGATGCTTTTTATTCCTCAGTATCGGATGCGGCAGGAGTTTGTCATCTGTGAGTTGATTTGGGGGCTCTACTTGTGCGCACTTATCTCGCACATCATGAAGGATGGTGTCAGCTACACGAACTATCCGCTGCTAAAGTGACAGTGCCCTTGCTGTATTCCTATAACCTTTTTTTTTTGTTTCCCCGTCTCTCTCTCTCTCTGTGTGTGTGTGTGTGTGTGTGTGTGGGCCTACGGCGTGAGCGACAACACATTTTTTCATATCACAGCACCTGAGAGGACTCGAATGATGGGAAAACAGAAATGAATGCGCCTTGTACCACCGCATCGTTTTTTTGTCGGCTTTTTTTATGCGTTGTCTCCTCTTCTTTGAACAGAACACAGTGCATGCATATCCTTATGCTCGCCCCCCGCTATTCCTGCGCTTAGCTAGATCGAGAGGACCCCACAGCGTGGAGTGGTTTGAACAGGTCCACATAAATGGTTGGAGAGCATGTATTTGATTGCATCCGCCACCTAATTGGAGGTTTCTTCTTCTTGTTGGTGTCTTGGTTCTTTTGCACTTAGAGTTAGCATATGAAGGCTGCGTCCTCGTTTTTAGGCTTGTTATTTTGTGTCACGTTATTTTTTTTTTAAACACGAAATTTGAGAGAGGGACAGTATGACAGTAAGAGTGCCGAGGAGCTATTGGCATAGCATAGATGTGAAGCGTGTACTTGTATTGCTCGGGTTGAGCATCGCCGTGGCGTACGCCGCTGCGTTTGTATTCGTGGTATTCGTCACCCCCTCGCTGCAAGAATCCTTTCCATCTACTTGGGAATCGCCTGCTCCAGTGGCGTTGATGCTCAAAAAGGGCTGTTTGGAGGAGATGTACCGGCATTTCCCTATGGCGTTCCACTTCACAACAGACCTGAGCCCAGGGATGTCATTTCTTAACCGCCAAGGGTGTGGAGAAGTTTCAAACGTTGTACATGATCAGAGTGATGCTCTCTGCATCCGAGGTGTTGCGCTTCACTGTCACAAAGGTCGCGTGTGTAGCACTCGTACCGGCGAAGAAATATCTGTCCGCGCACTCAACGAGACGTGGATGCGTCGTTATGAAACGGAAAAAAAGCGTGATGAGCGCCCGTGGATGACTGTCAACCATGGTGGAAAGTCCCCATCAGTTCTTGTGCGGCAGGGCAACGCGGTACTCTCAGCTCTGGGTCTCGCCCATGTGGTTGCCCGTATCGAAAATGAAATGCGTGTCTGTCGCATGCCCTTCAAAGAGTCTGTGATGGCGGCATGCAAGGGGCAGACCCAGGAGAACTCAACCAGTGACGCAGAGAAATATGTTCTGGTTGAGCTTGGGGCAGGCAATGCGAATCTACTATACAGTTTTTGTCCTCCTGACCCGCTGCGCCGGCTGCGGTGCTATGGTGCAGAGCTGGTGCCTGCTTTGGCAGGCGATGCGAATCTGTACCAGGAGCATATGAGCATTGCCACAGGAACTGGTTCTCCGCTTCGTGACGGCTCAGCAACCCACGTTCTTGTTCACGGTGTCCTTGCAATTGCATCACCCATGGATGGATGTGAAGTGATCCGTGAAGGCTTGCGCCTTTTGATGCCAAAGGGTCAGATGCTGATTGTAATGCTCTTTACAGGCTTTTCCGCAGCGTGGCCAACGTGGCATCATCCTTTCTTTTTTAATGATACAGCAGCGGAATTTGACCCGCTCCAATCGTCGCCTTCGTCGTCTATTTTGCGTTATTGTAGCTCTTACAGTGGTACAGATTACGGGGAAATTGTGGAAAAGGTAGAGTTCTTGTGGAATGCACCAGAGTTTGCGTTTTATGACCCTGATTTTCAGCGTTCTGGTGTGTATATCGTGCGCCTTACCCGCTCAGAGATAAAGATGCAGCCAAACCCAAATGAGGGGTCACGGACTGCTACACCAGATGCTGAGGAAAGGAAGCTCTATAAAGACATGTGTGCCGATCCGACAAAGCTCGACGGCATCAAGGATGCTCAGATGCTCTGGGCGGAGCGTGTGTTGGGCATGTATCACACTAGTATCCGGAAGAAAATTAGAAAGGGACACTATATTTGGGTTTCCACGCGCGATTAGAATCTCTGTTCACTTCACGTGAAGCGGTTCTTCAATGAGTCTTTGCCATTGTGTTTCCGCTGATCTTTTTCTAGTAAAATAGTTTTATGCGACAAGAGTATTATATTATGTGTTCGGGTGGTTTTTTTCTCAATGATTTGATTCTGACCTCATGTGAATTCAACATATATATTTATATATATATATATATGTATGTGTTTATATTAGCCTTTCTTTTGCTCTCTTTATTCTTTGGCCGTGCATCGGGTGGGCAGCGATCGCTTATCGAATTTCGTCGTGTATGAGCGGCATATTCTCTTTGAAGTGACTCTCAGTCACCATTCAGGCTGGTATGCCCTCGCAACGGATGGATTATTTATTTTTCGGTCCATTTTATTACGGCTGGAAGTAACGCTTGCATATGAAACGTTTGGGATGTTCGCGTGTGTGATCCACGTTTCTGAGTGTGTAGTTGAGAGAATCATACAGTGGACTCCTTTTGCTGTGCAAGAGGATGTGTTGGAGCATCTCCACATACAAGCTGTTCAGAGAAGATAGCTCAGGGAAGATGGGTCTCTTGGCTCACGATCGAAACTTGCTTACGGCTACAGAGTGTTGGTCGTTGTGATGTGAGTGAGGGAGGCACTTTGCGTTCTGAGTGTCATTATTGGCTATTCACGGTGCTTCATTTGGTGGTAATGCGGCGCCGCAGGTGCACTCTGTAGAGTTGCAGCGAGACGTCGCGATGCAGATAGCATGAAGGGCTGTGTGTGTTGAGCCTCACGTGTTGAGGTTGAGTGTCGTGCAGTTTCATAAGGAGTGTGGAACTACACCGTGCCTTATCTGATAGAGAGTGACCGTTGAGGTGCTGCTGGGATTTTTTTGATCTTTGCCTTGTTACTTATAAATGCCTTTTCTTTTTTTCTCTTTTCTTGTACTGTCGTTCTCCGGCGGAAAACACAAAGGAATTCAGGCAACAATCGTTAGCTATTTT